TAACCTGTGTATCCTGTCTAGTTGTCCATCCCAGATCAAGTTCTTCATCTGTTGAAGTCTTCCAACTCTCACAGGACTCCCAGGGTCCTTGGGTTAAGGTCTCAGTTTTCCGGACCTCATCTCTGTTTAGCAAAAACTTAGGATACAAGGCAGTGGTTTGTGGAGGAGTAGAACACAATCACAATCATTTGAACTTGGTTTTCCATGTTTGCCTCATCTAAAAATGGTATTTGCATTTCTAGCAAGATATAAATAACTTCAGCCTGTAATAGGTAAAAGGACATACAGGAATCCTAATTAGAACACATGTCTTGGGGTGCAGGGTATTGGAGAAAAAGAAAAGATCAGAGCTGAAGCAAAAGAATCAGTTCTGGCTGCAGTAGATTCCATCACAGTTGGTCACATCCAGGGCTGGGAAGGCTAATTCTGTGCCATGAGACCAGGCCCTTTAGAGGCACATGAGTCTCAAGACAGAGAAGGGATCTTGTCTCTGGGCAAGAGGAACGCTGCAGAGTTTGGTTCATTGACTTCCATTGTGCCAAGGAGAGTTCAAAGATTGCTGAACCCTTGGAAGTAGTAGGGCCTTAAATGGCACAACAAATGCACCAGTAGGAAGTGAGGAGAGTGGCCTGCTAAGGAGGCCTAATCCTGGTGAGTAGGCAGAAGGCCAAGGGCACCTTCAAAATGGTTCAGAGCTCAAAGTCAGGATGAAGTGAAAGGTGAAGGGGGCCTGTCCTGGCCACTCAAGGCGGCTTCCAGCAGGATCACTTCAAGAAATAATGGTCACCCAGGCACGCTGAGGAAAATAGAATGTCAATTGATCGCCAACAAGCATTAAAGCAATGACACAGAAATAAGCCTCAAAGCTGGAGAAAACTACTTAAAGGCCACAGGGCTGTGCTTTAATTTATGGTCATGACTGTCTGACCTTGAGACTCATGTGCCAAACCAAGGTTATACATTGAGCCAACCATACACTCACTAAAGAGCAATGCTGTTCTCTTTTTTTGTGATTGCTGAGCGTAGGTCTTTTTAAAGGGCAGGTTAAAAAGCTGGGTTAGGAAAAATGACATTGCAGAGAAACTTTAAATGTCCTTTCCTGGGCAAGAGGTGACTTAATCTAGGCCAGTTGGACCCTTTCACCCAGGAATTTGAATCAGCAAAGACTACGATTGTCCTACAGGGGAGCTCTGAAGAGATTCTTAGTCTCCCTGGCTTAGATTCTACAGGTGCTCTGGTTCCTGACCTTCCCAAAGCCTGGAGCTTCGGCTTTCTCTTCGATTTTGTGAGACTTTCAATGTCCTTCAGATTCCATTATTATTGTTATTATTAATTTTTTGTTTAGGCTGGCCACATGGTGTGTCTTTTCATTTATTCAGATCTTGTTTTATTTCACTCAATATAGTTTTATTCATATAAATTCTCTTTAAAAAATTTATTACTAGTGACTTTTTAATTAAACTTATTACTAGTTATTAGTAATTTATTAGCATTAGTCATTAGTAAATTTAATACTAGTCATTTATGATTTTGTTGCTAATATGAATGGAATTTTTTTCCATTTCCAGTTCAAATTGGTTATTGATTGGGTAGCGAAAGACTATTTTTGTGTATTTATTTTGTATTGTTGCCAACTTAATCTCTCTTGTTAATTTTCATACTTTCCTCCCACGCCTAGAAATAAAATCATATTATATGCATACAACATAAGTAATTTGGTCTTTTATAATTATTCTAAGTATTTCATCTTCATGTCTTACTGTCTTAGGTATAATCTTCAAAACAACGTTAGGAAATAGTGGAGAAAGCAGGCATCTCTGCCCAATTTCTGGTTTTAATAGAAATTACTTCAGTATTTCACCACTTCGTTTGATGTTTACAGTTCTTTTTAGCCCTGAGCTAAATCTGCTGCCAATTCTCCTTTTTTTGCTGAAGAAGACTAGGCCTGAGCTAACATCCATGCTCATCTTCTTCTACTTTATATGAGGGACGCCTGCCATAGCATGGCTTGACAAGCAGTGCTTAGGTCTGCACCTGGGATCAGAACCAGTGAACCCAGGGCCACTGAAGTGGAATGTGCGAACTTAACCGCTGAGCCACTGGGCCGGCCCCTGATGTTTACAGTTTTGAAAAAATTTTGAAATATGCCATACATACTGAAAAGTACATGCAACATATATGTACAGTTTAACAAATAAAGTGACCACTATATAAGAATACTTTTAAAAAAGATTAAGAAATAGTACATTACCAGCACTGGGAAATACACCACTTGGCTATAAGAACCCTGTTCCTTCCCCTCTTAATGATAACCCAGGCTGCCCTAACTTTCTTACTGATTTCCTTGCTTTCTTCATGGTTTTGCCATTTATATATGCATCCATAAATAATGTAGTCCTGTTTGCCTTTATTTGACTTTATATAAATAGAATAATGTTTTACGTGTCATTTTGTTCAACGTTATATCTGAGATTCATGCATGCTATGCTATGTGACTATAGTTTGTTCATTTTCGTTGGTTGTATTCACTTCACAGTATGGATATATCAAAATTTATCTTTCTATTTCTATTGTAGATAGCCATGTGAGTTATTTACTGGATTTGGTTATTGCAAACAGTGCTATCATGTACATTATTGTACATTTATTTTAGTGTGATGAGTGTGACTTTCTCTAGGATAAATACCTAGTAGTGGAATTCTGAGCTGAATTAAATTTACCACATAATGAATAGTCAAAATTTTTTCCAAAATGAGAGTTCTTATTGTTCTATATTATTGCCAATACCTCATTTTATTGGACTACTTAATTTTTGCCATTCTGATATCTGCTTAATGGTACTTTTCATTGTGGTTTTATTTGGCATGATGACAATTAAGGCTGAGAACCTTAGAGATTTGGATTTCCTACTTTGTCAAATTTCTGTTCTATCTCGTCTTTTGCCCATTTTCCTATCAGAATGAATTGTTTTCCTTTTGCTAATGTAGGATACTAGGATTTTGCTGTTCATATGTGTGGAAAATATTTTTCCCACTTTGTGGCTTTTCTTTTCATTCTTATAAGGTTTTTTGATAAAGTTCTTATTTTCAATATAATTGTATTTATCAATTTTTTTGTAGTTAGTGCTTTTTGTATCCTCTTTAAAAAAATCCTTCTCTACCATGAACACATTGTCCCATACTATTTTATAAAAGATTTATAGTTTTGCCTTCCACATTTAGTACTTCAGTCTGGTGGGAATTGACTTTTGCATATTGTGGGTGAAAATAGTTTCATTAATTTTCTACATGGATAGCTAATCATTCCAAAATTATTGATTGAAAAGTCCATCCTAGATAAATTGATCTGCCTTGCCATCTCAGTGTCCACTTCTGTGTTTATGGTCTATTTCTGAGTTCTCTTTTCTTTTCCATTGGTGTATTTTTTCTGTCTCTGTGTCACTAATAGAAAGTCTTAATTACACAGTTCGTAAATCAATATCTGATAGAGCAAGACTATTTACCTTATTTTTCTTATCTTCAAGAGTAGCTTGGCATTTGTTGATTCATTTACTTCCGTATAAATTTTAAAATCAACTTTTCAAATTCATAAAAAAGTATTCTGGAATTCTGAATGAAATTACACTGAATGTATAAATTGATTTTGGAACAGTTGACATCTTTACAATAGTCAGTCTACCAATCCATAAACATAGTATATTACTCTCCATTTATTTAGGTATTCTCTTATGTTTCTCAATAGGCTGCTATTATATATTTAGCTTTATTAATTAAGTAGAGGCAAAGGGATAACTTATTGATCTTTTAATTTCACTTCTATAATTATTCATGTCTATCCCCTACTCCATATACTGGTATACAATATGTACCTGGATCAAACGCACATACTATATTTTTAAATGTTAAGGCCTCAGGCAGGAGAGCTCAGGAAAATAAAGTAGGCATGATATACTGATTTCCAATCTGAAGATCTATTAATTTTTCTTTTTACTCTTCCATGCTGTATTGGTCATGGTTCTCCAGAAAAACAGAACCGAAAGAATAGACAGATAGATAAATAGATAGAAAGAGATTTATTCTGAGGGATTTGCTCACATGATTATGGATGCTGAGAAATCCCATGATCTGCTGTCCACAAGCTGGTGGCCCAGGAAAGCCAGTGGTATAGCTCCAATCCAAATCCGAAGGCCTGAGAACCAGGAAGCCAGTGGTGTAAGTCTGAATCTGAGGCTGAAGATCTGAGAACTAGGAGCATTAATATATGAGGGCAGGAGAAGATGGATGTTCCAGCTCAAGCAGAGAAAGCAAATTCACCCTACTCCCACTGTTTTGCTCTGTCTGGGCCCTCAATAGATTGGATGTTACCCACCCAGATTGGTGAGGGCAATCTTTTTTACTCAGTCTACTGATTCAAATGCTACTCTCTGCTGTAAACACCCTCATACACACACCCAGAAATGATGTTCTACCACCTATCTGGGCATCCCTTTGCCCAGTCAGGTTGACACATAAAACTAACCATCACACCAGCCTATGTGCAGGCACATTGACCATTTGATGCCAGTAAGTGCCACTAGGTGAGATGAATGGATGGTTCTGACTGTCTCCATTCTGGAGCATTATCTATGTCTGATATCTTCTTTGCTGTAGGTCCCTTTCTTTATTGCATATCTTTGTGAAAATCTCAAGAAAAAGTCAGCAATTTGGCCAGAGACCCTGTTCTACTCCAATACACTTCATCTGTGTCTGCCCTGCTATCTCCTCAAATGGAGCGAAGATCCCTTTCTCAGATTATTTTGCAAAGGGCTGCTGCATAAGAGCTTGTACATCAAACTCGTTTCCCCCAGCTTCTATTCTTGTGGAAGTTTATTTGCTTCATTGTCCAGACAAATACTTGAATTTAAATGAAATTCAATTTCCCCAAGTGCTCTGTGCCTATAAAAATCATTCTCCTTTAGAGATAATTTTTCTATTTCATGACCAGAAACAAATAACTTTCTCTTAACCTAAGGCACACCTTTGTTGCCTCATCATCCTCTTCAGAGCTGCCTTCACTTCCTGATTCTTGAGGCTGTAGATGAGGGGGTTCAGCAAGGACGTGATCACACCATACTGAACGGAGACCACTTGCTCCAACACTGAGCCCGAGGTGGGGCTGATGTACCTGAATAGAGCTGTCCCGTAGAACAAGAGCACCACAGTAAGGTGGGAGGAGCAGGTAGAGAAGGCTTTGCCTCGGCCCTCAGAGGAGTGGATGCTCAGGATGGCAGAAATTATCCTGGAGTAACAGAAGAGGATCAAGGGAAGTGTCAGCAGCCCCAGAAGTGCACATGACACAGCTACAAGAATTTCGTTGACAGTAGGATCAGTACAGGACAGAGGGAAGAGTGTAGGTAGCTCACAGATGAAATGGGGGATGATGTTGGACCCACAGAAGTGTAACTTGTGGATGAAGAGATTATTCATCAAGGAAATCAGAAATCCCACTGCCCAAGCTATGCTCACAATCACAGTACAGAGAGGTCTGTTTATAAGCATGGTGTAGACCAGAGGGTGGCAGATGGCAGCATAGCGATCATAGGCCATGGCAGAGAGCAAACAAGCTTCTGTTACCCCAGAGAGAATGAAAAAGAAACTCTGAGCAATGCAGCCCCACAGCGAGATTCTTTTCTTCTGAGACGACAAGTTCTGTAGCATCTTGGGCACAGTGACTGAGGAGAAACTGAGATCCAAGAATGATAGGTGTCCAAGGAAGAAGTACATGGGTGTGTGGAGGTGAGAATCAGCCCAGATCACCAGGATCATCACCACGTTCCCCGTCAAAGTCAGGAGATAAATCCCCAGAAATAGCACAAAGAGCATGGTCTGGATGTGGGGGTCACTGGACAATCCCAAAAGGACAAACTCAGTAATAATACTGACATTTTTCATTGTTTCTTAAAGATTCTATCCTTCAAAAGAAATGAATGGTGCTCCACTTGATGCAACATTGATCTGATTCATTCTCAGTGAACAGGAGTTTTCTACTCTCAAACAGTATACCTCCTTACCTATGGACCAAAACAGGGAACAGCATAGGTAAGTGTCTTCTCAGATACAATATCATCACTGGCTATCTTTTCTAACTACCAGCACTGTCTTGTCATGATTGCTATACCTTCACTCTACTTCATCACTCTTTAATAAATGTACCATGCACATGCAAATCAGGTAGGTTCTAGAGTCAAAATAAGGACAATAACCCCAGTGGCAAAGCCTGTAAAACCTTCTATGGTTAGGGGCTGGAAGGCCCATGGGAAAGTGATTCCTTTCCAGAATGGTAAGATCATAGGCTCACAGTATGTGAGGATGGTGCCATAATGGACTTTAACTCCTTCATTTTACAAATGAGGAAAAATGAGGAGAAAGCATTGACTAATGTCTCATGGCAAAGTGATGTCAAGTTGGGACCAGACAAGATGTTCCAACTAGTCTGGTATGCCTCCTCATGTACCACACTTAGTGATTTTGAATTGTTACAGCTGAGTCTTGGGGAGTTTGGGGGTCATGAGCAACTTTGCTAGTAGGGAGTTCACCTAAATGAGATCACAATATTCCTTGTCTGTGATACTCAGCCAGTGGTCTCTAAAGTTCTGTGTCAGCTGCTATTGAAGAGGAAAGAGCACTAGTCTTAGAGTAATATCCTTTGTTTGAGTGTTGGCTCAAACATTCTACTGGTATCATCTGGGAAAAGCTACTCAGTTTCGTAAGCCTTTGCTTATTCGTTTGTAAAGTTGGGTAAGTGAAACAAATACTTTTGTAAGCCATGTAGCCCATAACACACTGTAAAAAAAATCAAAATTTTGTATGTATGAACAAAGATTGACATAGAATATGGAAAAATAGAAATAATTTCTCTATTGGGTAGTAGGCTTACAGGTATTTTTTCTTTTAAACAATTTCTCTAATGTTGTGAAATTATTTTTCCATTGAATACTTCTTTTTTTCTAAAGGGAAGATTTGGAGACTTTCAGGAAACTCTCAGCCTAGCTTTGTTTTCTCCAGAGAGAAAGGCAAAGGAAAAACTGGCAAAGAGAAAAGCCCCAGGGCAAAGGATGCTGAACTCCTAAAGGGCACGTTGTTTTGTGGCCTCTTCCCCTTCACCGTCGGGCATCTCGGTGATTTGATTCTACTTTGGTACATGGGACTGAATCTGATGCCCTTTTGAAATCCCGCAGACCTAGGATCGCAGAGCACTACCGCTGCCATTCCAAGTGTGTTGAATGGAACTCTGTATTTTCTGTCATAGTCTTTTGGGGCCACCCTAAGTGTTGAGGGGCTGAGGAGTTAGAGGGTGTCTTTGGGCCCTCGCATCCATCTCATTCGCCTCATCTCTCCTTTCATCTATTTAATCACACTTGATTTTTGGTGGTAGAATTTTCCTGAAGTAAAGGGTTCCATCACTAAAAATCTGGTGAACTAGGGATTCCACGGCCAGAAGAAATAAAAATGTCTCTCTCTCTCTCTTCTCCACCTTTTTAACTTCCAATTCTTCAGGAAGTCTCCCTCCTACTCTTCATCTGGCTTTGCAGCCAGTAACACATTCCCATTCAAAATAAAAGCCTAACTTTCGTTTTTGGTCCAGAACCTGATATATAGAGGACAGAACAGGAAGACTCCCATTGGACAAAGGGTAGAAGGCTCAATCTTCCAGCTCAGCCATTACCTGACTGAAGGTAGCAATATCCGACCAATAATCTGGATCCATTTTCCTCCTCTGTAAACTGAGGAGCTTGGACTGGATGTTTATACATATCTCTCCCAGTTACATACAACTATGTGCCTCTAAGTCTCTCACCAACCTTACTGAGCAGGGCTGCTCTGGGTCTGACGTATCTTCTGGATTTCCCGCCAGGCTGCCTACCACAGGGCAGTGTTGCTGGAAGGAGACTTGGCTCCAGCAGCTCAAGGTGAGAGGCCTCCAGCCAGGTCCTGGGAAAAGTGGACTTTGTTTCCCAGCCAGTAATATGACCAGAAACAGATACAGACAGACGGTGGTTAAGAGCCAAAGTGTTCTGGTGTGGATCTTTGTGGAGATGGCTCTCTTAAGATTTAGATTTTTCTCTTCTTTTTTTTGCCCTTTTATTCCCTCAGTCCTGAGGAGAGCTCCTGGCCAGTTTGTGTGACTTGTATTTCTTCTTTCATCAAATCCCTGGGATCTAGTGCCAGATGGGCCCTGGGGAGGAGTGACGAGAAGAGGCTCCAGAGAATCAGGTATTGTTCACTGCCCATAGGAGAGGCAGCGTTAGCAAGAGCTAAAGGGGCCAGTGGCCCTGGGACAGAGTGGCTACAGAGTGGCTGTTGCCAAGAGGGGTCTGACTGAGGGCACAGGCGTGCAGAAAGCTCCTGGCCACAAATTGCTGTACTAATTAAGAAGCAGGGGATCAGGAGGGTCTGTTAAGGATCGGTCTTATCTCTGACAGCTCTTGGATTTTGAACATGAGTATGTGTACACACACACACACATACACCCACATCTACACAATTTAAAATCTCATTACTCCTATGAAGCCATTTAATCCTTTTTCAACCCTTGCTTCTTTAGCTCTCTGCCCAGGCTCTTGCCTCCTATTTCATAGAGAAAATTTTCCTTTCTCTACTTTAGTTTTGCTGTATCTCTCTCTTTATTGGGCTTTAGTACTGGTTATTGCTCAAGTTTTTCTCATTTAAAAATCTAGTGGGCTGAATTAGTAGCCCCTCCTCCTGCAGAGGAAGTTGGCTTCCTTGGGACCAGCCTTGGCTGTCCTGGGAGTGGCAGGGAAGGACCTACTCTGCTACGGAAACACATGGTGAGTACAAACACAAAAAAGGATGCAACCAAAACTTTGGCCTACTTCTAGAAACTAGAAGTTACTCCTCTGTAACAAGGGACTGGAGAGAAGCTGACCATCTGGATTATGTAAGAAAGCATATCAGACTCCAGGCTGTTTGATTTCTCAACCACTTCCTTGTCTTTCCTTCTCTTAATAGCCAGTGTTTTTTTGGGGGGGGGGGCGGGAAATACTCTATACTATAGTTTCCTCCTCATTCATTTTGCAGTCCATTGTCATCTTTCCTTTTCTACCCCCTCTATTGCCCCTAGAGACAATTCACCTACTATATTCAGAAGCCTAAGAGAGACGTAAAGACTGTTGTCTTTTAGTGAGCATTGGTGGACTGAGGAGGAAAAGACTTTGCCTTGGTTCCCAGAAGAGTGGATTCCCAGGATGATTCTGGACTAGGAAAAAAAGATTAAGGATACTTTATGAATCCAAGAAATGGAAATGACCTCAAAATAATTTCCTGTTGTCAGTAAGCTCTGTGTTGGATGAAGGAGGAGTGGAGGCAGCCCAGAGTTGAAGAGAGGCTATTGGATTTACAGAAGGGTAAGTTGACTGTAAGTCAACTTAGGCCAAGTTATGCTGTGATAACAAGTGACCCAAAATTTTAGTGGCTAACAACAATACGGATTCACTTCTCATGCTACATGTCCATTAAGAGCTGTGGCTTTGTTAGTACATAGTCTTTACTTCAGGACCTAGGCTTGTGGAGCAGCCTTTCAACTGGAACAAGGCTGGTGTTGGAGCTGATGGAAAAGAGTGAAATGATGAACTATGAGCTGGTTCTTAAAGCTTCTGCTCAAAAGTGACATGTGACTTTTGCCCACATTTCACTGGCCAAAGCAAGTCATACAGCCACACCTGAGTTCAACAGGGCAGAGATGTATCATCCTCCTACAGGGAGGTACACTGAGAGTCACATGGTAAAACCTGAGATGAATGGGGTGGGGAGAAAGTTTAACTCTTCCCCAGGAAGAGTAGCAAATAATTTGAACAGTGATACAATCTGACAGGATGAGGAAGATATTATTGGTCAGCAGGGAGGTCAACATCTGCTTCCACCAATTTCTGTCCTTTCTCACTCTAATGGAAATGCAAATAGGCTGCTCTTGAATGAGGGATAGAACAAGAGTGGCACTAGACAGATTGCCTGTCACAGGCCATGGCATAGAGTAGTCAGGCTTCAGGGTTCCTTGAGAAGGATAACAAAACTCTAGGTGATACAATCCCCAATAAGAAATACAGCATCCTCTTTGATTTCTTCTCTTCTTGCAAGCATTCTTTCTCAAAAGGTGTTTTCAAAGAAGGTGGCAGTCGGGTAAATTTTCCAAGGCTCTCTATCACTAAAAATATTATTCAGCCCTAATTTTTAGGAGAGAGTATCACTGGATAGATATTCTTAATTTTAAAATTTCTTTTCTTCAATGCTCTAAAAACCTGACTTCACTCTCTCCCTGTATCTGGTGTTACTTTTAAGAATTCTGATATCAATCTGATTCTTTTTCCTTAGCAGGCAGTTCTTTCTTCATCTCTGGAAATATTTTGGAAACTTTTTGGAGTATTTTGTTTATTTTTGAAGTTTTCAAATTTCACTATTAAGTGACTACATTTAAAAAAAAATTCTCTCTCCCACTTGGTGCTATGAGTTCTTTTTTATTTTTTATTGTGGTAACATTGGTTTGTATCATTATATAAATTTCAGGTATACATCATTACATTTCAATTTCTGTGTAGATTACATCATGTTCACCACCCAAAGACTAATTACAATCCATCACCATACACATGTGCCTAATTACCCCTTTTGCCCTCCTACCTTCCCCCTTTCCCTCTGGTAACCACCAATCCAATCTCTGTCTCTATGTGATTGTTTGTTATTGTTTTTATCTTCTATTTATGAGTGAGATCATATGGTATTTGACTTTCTCCCTCTGATTTATTTCGCTTAGCATAATACCCTAAGGTCCATCCATGTTGTCACAAATGGCCAGATTTCATCATTTATTACGACCGAGTAGTATTCCATTGTGTATATATACCACGTGTTCTTTATCCGTTTGTGCCTTGATGGGC